GCATTGAGTTTTAAATTTTTTTTAAAAAAAAAAAAAAAAACCCAAAAAAAAAAAAAAAAAAAAAAAAAAAAATGATATTAGCCTACCACAAAAAAAAAAGAAAAAAAAAAGTGAGCCAATCAGAGGATGGCTGTGCTTTGTTGTAAAAAAAGATAAATAGAAATGTTAAAAAAAAAAAAAAACTAGAACTGCAACTAAATCTAGACATTTTAGCAAAGAGTAGTTGCATCAAAGCACAGGGTTACCAAATTTCTACAACTATTATTTAAGGCGGTTGTACACAACTCCAGTGTGCCAATAACTGTGAAGGGCACTGCGAGCTTGTCACACTAACTTACTCAATTCAATATCAAAATAATCTAACAGGAAAAAGTTAAAATAAGTTTAGTTGATGCTTATAAGACAGATTTTTAAAATCTAATCTGGTAAACTTCACATTTAACTGTGTACAATGTAAATGACTGAATAAACCTCAAGTAATAATTCAGTCTTGTTTAGCAGCTAATGTACCAGTCCACTGCCTTCCTGAAGGCCTTGTAAATCACAGGGTTGTAGGAGCAGATCAGCCCTCCGCCACGTAACATCTGAGCCTTGACCCGGTTCAGGTCCCCCAGGCAGACCACCTGGTCCTCATAAGCCTGTGACACACACCACTTCGAGTGGTCGTAATGAGATTCGAACCGGACCGATGGCGGAAGCACGGTCCTCTTGACGTTCATGGTGTGCCTCGGCAGCGAGCAGTTGGAGGGCAGCTCTCGACCTTGGGTCTGCCAAGTCTGCACCAGAAGGTCGGTGTCCAGGACCTGAGCCACCCAGCCTGTGTAGATATCTGAAGGAAGGCCAGATTGAGAACTCAGGTGCACCAAGAATAAAAACATATCATATAGAAGTATACACAGCTCAAAGAACATTTGTTATCTATTCATGGTATTTAAATGCATGCCATCGTGGCATGAACAATGGCATGCATTTGAAGGACGGAATCAGATTTAACACATACACCACCTCGAGAAAACCACTGAGATCAAGAGACCAAATACTCTCGGCCTTCAAAGTAAGCAACTACATCTCTAAAGATCGAAATGTAAAAAACTTAGAGGTGCCTCCAAAACTTCTTACCGTCTACAAAGTGCTCAGATTTTGCAAAGCTGACAAATCTGTCCCCACTGACAGAAAACAGCGCCTTCACTCCCTTGTTGGCGGACAGTGGCGGCCTGGAGCCCTTGCACAGCTGGAGGAGCTGCGGCAGGTCGGCCGAGAACGCAGCGGGAACAGAACAGTTGTAGAAGCGTGGGTAAACGTAGACCAGCTGCTGTGCTGCAGTAGAAAATAAAGGGAAAACAGACAGATGTAACTACGTGTGCACAATCTTTTTCACAACATAAATAGGATTTGAAAGGCCTAATTTTATACATTAACACTCAAAAATGTACCCACACTGATTAAAATTCTAAGTTTTTGAGACTTGAAAATCTGAGAATGCACTTAAATGTATCTCTATTTGTACATAAGTTTTAATAATATTTTTTATTAATTTTTAACAATGATTCCAAATAATTAGGTTACTCTCCTTAATGTTTCTTTTGTACATGTCAGGTTTATAGATTCGCTGCACACTCCTTTTGGTACAAAGCCTAAAGCAGATGCTGCGTTTAAGTGCTGGGGAAAAGGTGGTTTATCTGAGATTTATGTGGCATTTGTACGTTTGATTAGTCAGTCAGAAAGACATTTTTCTTTGCTCCAGCTTTAACTCAGTGTAGTCTTGAGCTTTGAACATATCAAAAAGGGTTGAGGAAAATAATAAAGGAACATCTTGGGTTGTTATGTTTCTACATTCATTTTACTAGTTCTGCAGTATGAAATATATTCCCTCATGCTTTTTTAAAATGAAAAACAGGGTCAACATGCTTAATAATTTATACAGCAAACTTTGTGACACACACACACACACACACACACACACACAGTATAAGCAGTCGGGACTGGTTGCTTCACGACGTACCTACTCACCTATACTGAGAAACTGTGAATACTGGTAGGTCACACACAGGGCAGTCTGGCCATTGTGTCTGCCAGAGGAGGGGTACTGGTAGCCTCGCTCAGGGAACGAGGGGAAATGGGGAACGGTGTGGGACAGCCAGAAACCTTGAGAATGGTCAAAGAGCAGAACCCCTGCAGGATGCATGAAAGCACACACTTGAGCAGGCAAGAAAGCACGTCTAAGCTCACACACATGCAAACAGGCACGAAGACTGCAACAACCTTTCCACCAAAGTTGTGTCAGAGTTTTGGGGAGGTCAGAGTAAACAGTAGCTATCAGGCTGTTGTTCTTTGGACATTTCCTCTCACATTGATCTGCCTTCACTGCTAAATCACGACATTTTACTGCTGAACTGCAGCTTTGGAGAACAAAGTAAAGACATAGATAGACGTAGATATTTCTATTGAAATACTGTGCATTGTTCCTATCAACTACTGCTGTCATGGTAGCAATACCTTGAAATATTTTTTTTATTTATGTACTTTTTTTTTTTTTTTTTACTATGTTACCATTTACAAACCCCTCACAAAAAACAGAGACTCAAAACAAACATAGAGCAAAGTTAATTAAACACTAAAGATTCCTTAATGTTACACATTTTACATTGCAGTCAAAAAAGTTCAGTTCCTTCACAGAAAAAAAAACATTGTTTCATGAGATGAAGGACACATTCAAAGATCCAAACCACTGTGAAATATTTTTATGGATAAAACAAGTATAACTGTAATTACTTCAGATTAACTGTACCTTTAGTGTGTCCGTAAGTACGGATGTATTTCTGCTGTGGTGCACCGTCATTGTAGAGTGCGTACACAGAGCTGTTAGACTGAAAGAGAAACTAGTTTAATACTTGCAGCGTTGTACGTACTGTGAATACGAATTTACCAGCTTGTAAATTTTCTTTTGTCTTCACTTTATGTGTTTACTTTACACAACATCAAAATGGCACAGGAGCAGAAGGAAACAGGCAGCAAATACCCCCTTACAGAATTCGAGGAGATAATACATTTGTCTCTGACATTGTATTGATTTAGGATGTTTTGAAAAATGAACAATAAAAATTGATAATTGAAGGAGGAAACTTCGATTATTCATGCATATTAAATATTTTGTTGATGGAATAAATAGGTAGGTTTGTGTTCCTTTTGGAAAAGATGATCAATATTTATCCCTTTTTTTTATAAGGCTGATGTGTCAAACTTACTTCACAAGCATACAACTTGGACTTTGACTACCTTAAAGATTAAGGGCCATTCACCAATGGAGAAGAGCAGCAGATCTCACCATGTAGACCTTTCCCTTGTACAGTTGATTCAGAGTGTTGGCCATAGCTCCTTCGGTTGTGTTAACCATAAATTTACTCCTCCGCCAGCTACCAGCTGCTGAGTCCAGGTACATGTACTCCACACCACTGCCAACCTCCCCAATCCTGAACTTCGGCAGTTTGTAGATGATAAACCTGGAAAAGCCAGATTGAAACACATATTAGGAAAATATTGGGGGTCATTTTATGCGCCTTTCTGTTCCTTGGCATCAGCGACCACAACACAACAAAAGGATTATGAAAAATATGACATCAACTCACCAGTCAACAGCTTCACCAGCTTCATTTCTGCAGGAAATGTCACTTCTGCCAACTGTGAAACACAAGAATACGACAGAAATATGGAAGCAGGGGACGAGTTGAGAGGCCATCTTTGGTGGACTAGCTGAAAACAACTCGGCTAACTGTGGATTTAAAACATGTCTGAAGCCTGTTTGGAGGCTGCGAGCCGTGTGACAGAGTTTTTCAAAGTAAAGAAAGCACAGCTGCAATGATATGCAAAAAAGGAAGTCATAAGTTGCGGTCACATGATAGGGGAAGGTGAAAGTTCTGTGTAAGGAAATACGGTGAATATTCATGTTTAGCATTTTTTAGGAACATCTACCAAGCAAAGTTTTTCTTTCTTCTTTTTTTTTTAAATGTATTCTTATTTTTTTTAATTAAACTTCACTAGAGTTCTTTACATTTAAAGTGTTGCACCAGTTCACACCTGGTCATCTTTTATTTTTAGCAACCAGGCTGCTGATTACTGAACTAGAGAATATTTGGTTAAAAAAAGACACCACTGTGTACCTGAGGGAAAGCTTGTTAACTTTCATTTCACTTAGTGAGGCTGAGAAACAACAGTGGGTCTTATCTGGAACTGAAAGTTTCATTTTCAAAGACAATTACCAAAAATTCCAGTGTTTGAATATAATTAGACAACTTACAGGCAAAGTGAACAAATCATTTCTGTAAAGTAAATGTTGTGGGGCAGAACTGAGTTAATTTTAATTAGTATGACACACTCTAACACGGTACTAGTACAAAGGATACAACTTGTGTGCTGTCCAGAGATTTTGCTAGTTTTCAAATATAACCAACATAATAATATTTAAATCACCAACTCTCTAAAACTACCTTAGCCTATGAAAAGGCAAACATACATTGTCAGTACAATATATTTAAAGCAGTAAACACAATTATACAGCCAACCAAGAAAAAAACAAAACAAAATAGTAAAACATAATTTTCCATATCAAATGTGACCTGCCTCAGGAATCAAGGAGCTAAGGGTGCAACATTTATTGTATAATTTACACTTCACTTACACTAAAGTACTATAAAAATGTAGCTTTGTTTATCATTATTGTTTCAGAAAAAAAAAATATAGGCTCCACATCTAAAAAGATTAATCTTTTAAAAATTTTTAAGCAGTAATATTTAAATCTATATTCAAGTAAAAATGGCATTACAAAGATCATTACCAACATGTGATGAGAGTAAAAGGTAGTCGGATATTCAAAGAAAATAATAATAATAATAATAAAGAAGGTCTTCATTTAGGAGTTAGTGCACATTGATTAAGATTAATTTAATAATAATAATAATAAAAAAGTCAGTGTCGCTTCTTGGTCAGCAAAGCCTCTTCTCCAGCTTGTGCACTGTCTCCATGGTAACAGACAACCGCTATGGACAAACAATAGAGGTAATCTCCATTACACTGAAGTTACTGCTTCAGGTTTTACCTCTTATAATCAACACAGCATCAGAATATGGACTTTACAGCAAAACCACCACTTTGCAGTCTGGATGGAAGGATGTCAGCTAGCAGGCAGCTAGCCCATCCAGATGACTGATGCCACTGTACATCACAGAGAGGAGAGTTCAGTTAGGAAACAAGGAGATCAATACAAAATAAGGGAGCCTCTATGTGCAAGGGTGACGGGGTTTGTGTGTGATTACGCACACGTGAAATATGACGAAATCCATCCAGAACTGCCAATAGTGTGAGTAAAAAAGAAGGCAACACCCCCTCAAGAAAACGTACATATATTGGAAAGAGTTTTTTTTTTTTTTTTTTCGGGGGTTTGTGTCAGACAAGATCAGAAACGCAGCAGGTGGAAGAGAACAAAGCAACATGGCATACGCTGGAAATCAGGTAATCATTTCAGAGGAGGAAAACAGGACTCATTTTTATAAATTACATAGCATAATTATTCTGTCAGTGCCAATATAAACAATTTTAACATTGAAAATACAATCATGTTTGGGGTCAGTGACCACAAGGTTAAACCAGAACTTGCAACTTTTAGACCTATGAAGCAGTGTCAAGAAATAGTACTTCTTAACTACTATTAAATAGTTACAACCTTACAAAAACAGAAGAAACGCAAATAAATTTGTCAATGTGCAAAAATAAGGTGCAAACTTTTGGGAATATCTTCACAAACAAGCCTACAACTTAGGCACAAATTAAAGTTTTAAGATGAAAATAATCAGGTTGGACATTGAATAGCATGAGAATGAGACCGCTGGCGTTGTACATTTGCAGATTTGGATGAAAATGTCAAGTCTTCTTCCCTTCATGCAGAATGTGGAGTTTGTGCGGACAGGCTACGGCAAGAATGCGGTGAAGGTGATGGTCATCAAGAGACACGGGAGCCACCACTCCCTTATTGAGCTGAAGGCTAACGTGGAGATAACGCTCAAGTCACGCAAGGACTATCTGACCGGAGACAACTCGGACATCATTCCTACCGACACCATCAAGAACACTGTCCACGCCATGGCCAAAATCAAAGGGGTGAGTTACAGCTTCACTGCGCTTCTCAGTACATTCCAAGATATAAACGCGCCGATTTTCTAAACAGCTTCTGAATAATGTTTATGCTGTGTTAAAATTGACATTTTCTTGATTTTGGCTTGGTTTCTGTCGAGAGGCTGCTGTTTAAAGTCAACCTTCATGCAGATTTTACTGCTTGTCGAATTTTCTTGGCATTAGCAGAATATGTGTTATTTTTAAGACAGAGACAGGAATGTTAGAGAATTCATGTTTGAAATGTTGAAGGGTGTGTCACACTGAATACCTTAGTAAAGGGTATTCTGCAAATGAGCTCGTAGCCAATGGGATGCTTAACACAGCATGTCTCCCCTGCAAAGGGGCGATTATTCTTTGTAATGGCTTTTTGGCGGTTATTTGTTTTTCACCTCTACTTTGTATGCATTTTATGTCTCCTGTTGGAGATAAAACTAACTATTCAGACTCTCCCTCCCCCCCCCCTTTTGTTAAGGTAAATACTATTGAGCAATTTTCCATGGATCTCTGCCATCATTTCCTGACCTCTTTCAACCATGTGCTGAGGGCCAAGGTTTACATGGAGGAGGTGCCCTGGAGAAGACTGGAGAAGGTAAAATCCATAATCCAGTCCCTCGACCCGGACAAAATATAAGCTTTAGTTTGTTTTCTGGCTGCTATTTTACTAGCATTACATTTTAAAAAGTACAATAACTCTCAAAAATCTAGTTACCCCTGTTAAAATCCAGGTTTTTCATTATGCAAAATGCTATGCATACTGTGACAAATATTTTATGCAATTGTGTAAAAAAGATAAATTAAAAAATATGTGCGCACCTTTTCACTAATACTTTGTTGGGGGCAACTTCTGATTAATTTTCAGCATCCGGTCAGCCTGAGTTCTCCCTCATCAATTGGGTCTGATTAACTTGCAATGATGTTCAGCTGGATTTGTATCCCACAGCTAAATCAAACATCTGTAGAGATGTGTGACACTGGTAGTCTTATATCAACAAAGCATGAAAGCTGCTTCTAATAAAGTATTAGTTCAAGTGTGTGCAAGTTTAAGTACCTTTTTCATTTTGCTCTTTTGAAAAGATCTGTTTGTGGTTTGGTTGAGTAATCCAGAAAAAAAAAAAATGTCACCCAATATTTAAAAAAAAAACAAAAACAACAACCTTGTTTCCACTGTACCAATCTGTGAAGTATTCAAATAATTAAGATTAAAGCACCAATTTTTAGACACAATCACTCTTTTTTTTCTTTCTCCAGAATGGTGTCGAACATGTTCATGCTTTTATCTACAGCCCAGAGGCTTGTCGCTTCTGTGATGTTGAGCAGAACCTCAACGGTAACCATTGAAAATATGTTTGCATGTGTGTGTGTGTGTGTTTTTATTAAAATGTGCTTAGTGTTTTGGTGGCAAAGGTGGGAGACATCTCTTTTTATATCTTGAGTCAACTTCGTTTGTTAGCATGGATAATGACACGAAATAGATACAATGATATTATCAGGTCTAGTCTATTATTATTTTACCTCTTGAAAAATGTAGCAGTTGAAACTGTTGACAAGGATATCTGTGCATCTACAGCTATTATCCATTCTTACACATGCTTGGGACAGACTCCATTTCCATCCAAACATCTGAAACGCTTTGTGCTTTTGCACCAACTCTGTTCTGCACACAGGTACTCCAGTGGTTCACAGCGGCGTGAAGGACATGAAGGTGCTAAAAACCACTCAGTCTGGCTTTGAGGGCTTTTTCCGAGATCGTTTCACGACACTGCAAGACACCAAGGACAGGGTTTTCTGCACCACCGTTTACTCTAGGTGGCGCTACAACAAGGTCCAGAACGTTGACTTTGATGCCGCATGGTAATTATCTTAACTTTTGTGTGGGATCAACTTGGAAGTGCAGGGAAAAACACATAGCAAAGATGATTTTTCAGCTCAAAAAGAAAAATCCTAAAAGGAAACTTCTGTCATTTGTAGGAAGTGTATGAGAGACACAATTATTGAGAAATTTGCTGGCCCGTACGGTCGAGGAGAGTTTTCACCATCTGTGCAAAAGACCCTTTATGAAACACAAGTTCTGGCCCTGGACAGGATTCCTGAGGTGAGCCCTTCACTTCAACAAATCAGTTTATTCAAAGACACTCATGGCTGCGCAATCTGTTGTCACTGTCTTGCATAATTTAAGATACACATGATTAGTGTATGAAGCGGGTTTTGTTTTCAAAATATTTACATGTGTGCGACATTACCAGAAACAGTGTGTAGCATAACACAAGAAATGCTCTTCTTAGGTGGAGGAAATCGAGATTGTCATGCCCAACCAGCATTACTTCACCATAGACATGACAAAAATGGGTCTTAGCAACAAAGATGAGGTAAATACTATCATTGTTTACAGTATCAAACCTTATTTGATTGATAACATGTCTTTTTGTTTTCGATCAGGTGTTTCTTCCTCTGGATAATCCCTCTGGAAACATCACAGGGACAGTGTGTCGTAAGCAGAGAGCCAGACTTTAAAAGGGAAAGCCCAACCTGAAGACTCTACTGCTGGTTTCAGTATTAACCTGTTGATCCAACTAATAGAAAATCTGATGATGTATCCAACAATATATCCTTGAGATGTAAATAAAGTTGCTTCTGACTGAATGTGTAACACCCGACCAGCCAAAAACGTATGAAAAATAAAAAATAATTACAGCCACTCTCACTGGGAATTTCTTTTGATTTGCAACGTTTTGATTCAAGAGCTAAAGTTCTCTGAAGAAGTAATACATGAATAGGTGAAAAAACCTAATTGTTTTGCGCTTACCAGGGAGGCTGCTGACATGCTTTTACAATTTCCTTTAGTGTTTTAAGTGCACATTTCTCAGATTAATAATGTTAAGAAGTTTATTTTTTAAACACATTTTCTGGTTAAAAACAAAAATAATGTTTTATGACGTCCCTAAGGTTCTTTCACAACATCTCTCAGTTAGTAGCTCAGTTTTAGAAGTTTCATCAGTCTGCTAAATGTTAGTAAAACACAGCAACAAAAAAAAAAACAAAAAAACAAACATTAGCTGTAATTCTTAGTATGTTTCAGGGCATGCAAACAAAGTTTTGATCTTTAAATGTTTCTATAATTATTTAAATTTAACCTTATGTGTACAAAAAGACAAAACAGATTCCACATCATCTTATGTCTTAAACAAAAATGAAGTCAAATTGAAAGATATATTCCAACAGTTAGAAGAGTCAATGTAATTTTCTTGGAGTTTATTAATTTCTTATACCTGTGTAGAAACATTTTGGCACATTATTCGTTATATTTCATGGTTTCTTGAGGTTTGCTAGTATTTTTTTATTTACTCTCCTAATCCATCTGCTCTGCCCCCTCCCACGCCCCTGTAGAGGGTTAGGGTGAGACTTAACCAACAGATATTTATATGCATTATTGTTTTATTTATTTATTACTGAGGGTAAACTGCAATTTTGTTATGTTCTAGGAACATAACAAAAGACATAAATTGTTTTATATCTTTAATGTCTCCTTACATCATCTGAAATGGTCTGAAATTTGAGTGGGTGTGTAAAAGAGATAAGTAATGTTTTGCCAGCTAACTATGTGATGTGCGAAATTAAACAAAAAAAAAAAGTCAAGAAAGTCAAACTGATGTTCTTTGGTGAGAAAAAAAGCACCATTTATCATCAATTTTAGACTCAAGATATTCAAACTCCAGTGTTATGTTGCACTTAAACATGGGTCATGAACACTTCAATACAGCCGTCCAAGTGACAAAGCTGAAAGCACCACAGGTAGGTACGTAATAAGAATATATACAGAAAGATTTTCATACCAAGAGCCTCAAGTCTAAATAAAGTTGACTTGAAGAAACAAAGAGGCTTTAGATAAAAGTCCTGGAAAACAAAGTGATTAATTGTTACATGCTCTGGACAAAACATGGACTCAGATGTGCAGTTTAAAAGATAAAAACTAAATTCAGGGAAACACAATGGGATCATAATAATTTTCTGCACGTATCAAAGTGTTCAAATATAACAGAACATACATCCTTTTCAACTATATATCATCTTATTTACAAATACTTAAAAAACCCATTGCGGTTTAATTTACTTTGCACACACATTCACCACACAAACACACAAATCTAGCCTTCAGAATACTCACTCTTAATCTCTTTTCTTAAATAAAACACAAAATTACAAGCAGCAGAAATAAGAATGGCTGAAGGGGTAAACAGCTGAGTGGACGCAGTGTGCAGACCGGGGTTTTGGGATCCGCGCTTATTAAAACAAAAACAACAACAACAACAACAACAAAAAAAACAGCATTCAAATCTTGTCAAGGTGCCTCTGTTGGCAGAAGAGTCTTTGTGAAGCCGCAGCTAACCTGGAGTCTCCTGACATGATGATTGTCGCTGAGGTGGGTGGCGGGGCAGCTGGCCGTGCTACGACGCGTTGCTCTTCAGGTGCTGCGTTTGCAGCGGCTTCACGTGGTACTCGTAGATTTTCAACGCGGGGCCGAGTTTTATCGACAGTCCTGTTAGGACGTCGTTACGCGTCATCAGGAGCAAAGACTTGCCGTCAATTTCCTGTCAGTCCAAAAGAGAAATTCTATATTTGGAGGCTTTGCAAGTTGACGTGGAGTAAGACAGAAGAAAAATCTAACCTGATCTTGGAAAGCTGTAGCCTGCTCCTCAAACCCTGTTGCCTTGAAATAATTGACAACGTCAGCAACTCCCCAGTTGGAAGGGTCTGGCAGCTGACCGTTCTCCACCGGGCTGCAGGATAAAAGTTACTCTACTCAGACTAAACTGTGACAACTGTAGGAAAACATATTTGAGTTTCCAGTAAGAAATGAATCGAGTAAATAGATTCATCAGCTAATTTTGATGAGTACCTTTTGGTGTCAACTGAACCATTTGCCTTGTCCTCCATACTGGCTGTTGAATAAAATGACAAAGGCAAGCATATGCAATTATTTTAACAATCTCATTATCAATTCAGTTCAAATAAAATTATAATTTGAGGTCAGAAAATAAAATAAAAAATAAATAAATAAAAATCAATCAAGAATGTTTTCTGAAATGGGCTGTTTTTTCATCTTAGGCCTCTGATAAAAAAACAACTAAATTTTACAAATCAGACAAAAAAAAAATCCTAAAGATTAAAAAAAATAATTCAGTTGTCAGAACATTTCTAACTACATATTTTTTCTATCCTTCTTCAGAAACTTTTCATTGCAACCATGTTTGATCAATAGAAATATTCAACATTCTGACAATATATCAGATATATTGCAACACTTATTAGTATAAAGCAGCAGCAGTTAATAATTTAAGATGCTAATAAAATGCCGTAATGTATTTGCCAAATTAGTTCTGTTTTAAACTAAATAAATTTAAATTTCCTTACAATTACTGCCCCTTGTGGTATCCTTCACTTGGCTGAAAAGAGCAGCCAACTACTGGCATGTCAGATATGAAAAAAAAGAAAGAAAAAAATTCAACATGGAATACTGAGGAGCAACTACATCTAACTATTGGCTGCAGTTTTAACCTCACAGATGATTCAGTTTAAAAATATTATACTCCTCAAAGCAAAAAAAATAAAAAAATAAACAGGTAAAAGAAAAGCTTGATAGGCGATTCTCTACAATACAATAAATATAAAACGCACATACCTATAATATTTAAAAACAGTTTGCTTATTTATGTTTTATGTGATGCACATGCAGAAAAATGTTTGGAAAGGAAGATTTTATTTTGATTAAATAACATTTTACAACCAAAAATGAAATGTTGCTCCATAGGTGAAAAAATAAAAATCTAAAGTTTAACTGATTTTACAGTCAAGTCTAGATAGGAGCTTTAATGTTTTTCGCATCTTTTATTACATTCTGACAGACTTTGAGCACGACATTTTAGACCAGTTACCTAATTTCCACATTATGCTTCCGTATAACACCTTATAGTTTAGCAAATAAATTCAAAGTTTAAGCACACACAAACTGAATGAAACGAGTCTTACATTCTGTTACGTTGCAGTAATTTTTCATTAGATGTCTTCTGCGAGAGAACTCAGTGTGTTGGCAGTTCAAACACCATCATCGTTTGTCTTTCTGACATTCACTGGATGTCCCTGCTGAAAAAGCACACCACCACAGCAGAAAGGGTAAAGCCGTAAGTAAAGCAGCTTAATTAACTAAAACTAGCGCCGTTTATCATAAACACAAGTCGGAGTAAAAACTGTGATGTGTAAAAATTGACGACGTAAAACTCACGTTGTTAGCGGAATTAAAACCAGAAAAAATATCGACATAAAAAAAACTGGCCACACCACAATTATAATTCGGTGGAAAAAAAAAATTACAAATTCAAGAAAATAAAATATGTGGTTATTCTAGACGACGAGTAGATATTTAATCGCACCCTCTCCGTGTTTTGTAATAACGCTAACGTTAAGCTAAGAGGGATAGTTAGCCTCGTTTGCTAATACCAAATTTAACAGTTACCTTATTTTAGGAGATTCGGGCTTGACAACAGCTGCTCGTCCAAGTCAAAAATTGTTATTCAACAAACAAAAAGTTTTATAAGCTGTAGTATTTTTACCAGTTAATAAACTGCGGTGTTTATTTGATAAAATCAAATTATATTCAAGTAAACCAACAAGCTTCTTCGCTTTCGTTTCCTTCGCCCACAACGTCACGGAATCATGGGAAATGTAGTGCAATGGCAGTTTAACGGGTTTAACAACCAGCCTTCCTCACAGAAACACACAAATTGTTGATTTCAATAAAAAGAATTTATTATAATGACATATCCTCTTTGTTACATAAAATCTGCTACAGCAAAGTGTACTTCGCTTGCAAACACAAGTAAATATGATTGGGAAAAATAATGTGTCAGCTTTCTAAATGATGTGCAAAAATATCCACAAACTAAATTACAGACACATTGCAGATTATTGATTCCCATACTGGCACGTGTGACTAGCTACAAGAACTCATAGAACTGATTTCCTTCAGTCAGGAGGAGTGTGAAGTGGCTCAGGGAAAGGTGCAGTCGTTTCACGTCAAATTTCAACAAACATCACACACATGAGGGAGGGTAGAACAGATGATACAGAAGAAGAGCTGGCAATTGCCTACACATTTGTTTTTGAGAGGATTTACACACAGGCAGTTGGACAGAGACATGCTTGTGGGCCAGGTGAGATTCATCAAATTCAAAAACATTGGGAATTGTTTTTAGGCATACCATCTGTTCACCCTTCAAACGGGACAAAAATACATAATTTTGAATAAATACAAAAGAAAAAAAAAAGATACATTTCAGTAGGCATTAGAGGTGTCAATATGCATCAAATATAGATGTAGCAAATTAAAAAAAACATAAATAAACAATTTTGGTGTTTGCAATGCTTAACATTTTAGGTCTCCATACACATACTGAGAACCATGGAAAATTAAATGTTATTTTGTTAGACTTCTATGTATAAATAAAATGCATAAGTAGCAGTTGTGCCTTCATAAATTAAATCGCATAAAATGCACATGTGCTCAGACAAAATGATTAAAACAAATAATTACTTAAATCCTGTTTTTGAATTTGGTTGTTTAAGAATGCTTAAATTGAACAAAATAGCTTTTTATTCCCTCATATGTAAAGACTCAAGTATCAGTTTTGGAAAGACTTTCAACAGCGCATTTTTGATTCTTCCTCAGCCCAGTGGAGTCCAGTATCTCATCATTTGAAGTTTAGACTTCTCTGTGACTGATAGGAAGAGAGAAACGCCTCTTTAAAGGACTACAGGCTTTCCAAAATCAAAAATATATCTGCTATCTGAAAGAAAAAAAAAACATCAACGGCATACCACCTACGTAGGTACTCGGCATCTGAAATATAGATTTTTATAGATGCAATATTTTGTCATGCTGGAGAAAAGAATGTGGAGTCAGGGACTACATTTTAGCAGCACAATATGCAATGAGTCAGAAGAATCCCTCATAGAAGTTATATTTGTCTCATTGAAATAAAACAAAAAATAATCTTAAGAAGTGACATAATTGAAAAAAAAGATATATATTTTTTTTACCTTATTCCCTTTGAAAATGTAACATTTCTATCCGTTAGCAATTTCAATCAGTTGCCACTAAGCTTTGCAAAGCAGAATAGGCAAATCTTGATTAATTCAGTTAGGAAACAGTGTAAAGACTACAAGTTATAACTGCAGGCCGAAGATGGACCAGTCTAGCTGTGATAAATCAATACTTCATGATAGTTCTGTGTTCTGTTATTGCTGCTACGTGATTATGCAGCACTGTTTATGGCATTTGTGTTACATAGACCAAAATATCACCTGCTTTCACGCTTCATGCTGTGACACAATTCCAAGGCTACAAAAGAAAAAAAAAAAAGTGGGGATACTACTATTAGCTTCCAGTAACACTGCTGCACAACCATACACATGCAAAATAAAGATAAAAAATAAAAATAAAGAAAAGGAAACATCACAATCTAGGCTCAGTGCTCTGCTCAGACACAGCAGTTAAACTCAAAACAGAACCCGAAGGGGACAAAGGTCACCCCATGTGAGCACCACTGCTTCGTATCCTTCAGATAATGTAACAAACTGACCTTTCAGCGATTGGAAAATGCCATGCTAGTGCATTTCTGGACAGACTTTTAAATGTACCACAGACATACGAACTGTGTGCAGAGACAAAACTCAAACATCTTCAGATTCACTTCTTGTGAAATACACTTGTATCTAGAAAATATAGAATTTCTTTCCATCAAAAGACTGAGGTAAAAAGGAAATGTCCTGTGATCGGATATGGATAAATCATGCTACAACTGTTTAGCTGACACAGCGCTTACATGTTTCTGCTTCCTGATACCGCTTGTAATTAGTAATTCCTTTCCTCAAGAACTGAAAGCGAGAGAATGCATCTGCTTTTCCATTTTTTGTTAACAATTTGGTCATGCTTAAAAAAAAAAAAAGGAAAAGGACGTCTCACCTTCCAAGGTCTAGATGGAAACACACGCTTCCAGGTCTTGAGGACACCAGAATAATAAAAATGCTGTTTAAATTAATCGAAACTCAACCAGGCCCCTTCCTTAAAAACACGCTGGGGTTTGTAACAGACAACAGATAAAAATAAAAAAATAGATAAAAAAAAAAATAAAAAAAAAACAACTCTTCAACACCATGTGCAATAACAGGTAATACTACCACTTCCCGTACCTCATCGAAAAAGGACTAATTCATTTTGCATGTTGCTTTTCACATTCAAATTTAAACAAGGAGAAAGAGAGTCGAAACTAAAAGTTAAAACAAAAACAATGAGAATGTGGTCTAGTACTTTATTGCAGCACGTGAAGGTGTCTGCATAATTTGCCTGTGTGTAGATCGGTGCCAGCAGCACCAGGGGGCATGGCAAAAAAACGACCTCATTTCAGCCGTGTGGAATGAAGGAACGAGGCGATTGTTAGGAGCACAGGATGGCCTCGGTTCCACCTTATACCTCTCATCAGAGTGCAAATATCCCAAAGCCGTGGAAACCTGACGGGGTCCTGGCTAAAAGTCAGCAAACTCTTTTGCACACTTTTCTGTTTGTGAGACGCGAATGTCCTCCTCTTCGTAGTCGTCGAAGTTGCTCGTGTCTCCAGGTCCTCTGCACTTCGGCAAGAAGGGAGCTTCAACCTGAAAAAGTACGAACGCTTAATATGTAGACAAAATCTCTCGGCATGGATTCAAAAAAGCAGACAAGCTCTTGCAGAAAATAAATACCTTCCGCTCATAGATGGCTATCCAATCTGTTGTGGAGAACCACTTATGGTTTTTTATGTCATTTACGCCGTTCTTCAGGTTGCCAAATCTCTTCGTAAGATCTACCTGGAGCAGGTTCCTCAGCAGGTCCTTCAGGTCGGAGCTAAAGTGAGAGGGAAATCGTACCTACAAGGAAGGAAGCAGCGCATTCTGAACAACAGTGATAAATTATAGAAAATGAGATGCGTCCCCCTCCTACCAACGGCCAGAAAGGCTAGAATCCAACAAAATACCAAACATTCAATAAATATTTGCTCCTTATTCAAGATCGGTTTTTTTGTAGTTACTCTGACATGTTTCAGATAAGCAAACAGACTTTACAATTGCCAAAGTTAACCAGAATAAAAACAGCAAAAAAAAAAAAAAAAAACAGTTTTCAAATGATCATGACTGAATGATTTAACTTATTAGGAAAAAAAGCGATCTGAATTATCCAAACCTATGACTGGTTGTTGCCAACCAGTGGCAGCAACAACTGCTTTAACAGTCTTCAACAGTGCTGTGCTGAAATTGTGGTCATGCCATATATCAGTTGAATTTAAGTGTGAACTTTGACTAGGCCACTTCTTGGTTTGCATAGCTTTTTACTCTTAATAAAAGAAATCAGCAACAGATTTTTCTATTTATCCAGACTTCTTTGTCTTGTATTAAAACATCATTGATCACCTGAAACATTTAATTGTGAGAACATAACCAAAAACTTCAGAAATCTGTAAAGGGACTGAAACTTATTTCACAGCAGGGTTTATTCATATTATTAAAAGTATTGTTAAAACGTTATTGTCTACCATTGTCACTATGATGCATCATACATGATGTCTGATTGGTTGACCTGCACAGTAGTTCAACCTCAGGCCAATCACCTTGTCTACAGTAATGTTAGCCCCGCCCCCTGGCTTAGATGAGTAAGACAGATCAAACATATTCATGCTTTCTAGGACTATAAAGTAACACAGAACTGAATAATATATGCTTTCAGCTTATAAAAAAAAATCACATTTTAATTAACTTTTACACTTATCATTTTAAAGATATAACTCGTATATCATGTGAATTAAAGCACCCAATAGAAAACCCATATAAGAGAAAGTGCTTTAAATAGTCAAACTTGAAAATCTCCTCTTACCTTGCCAGACACAATCTTTTCATAGATCTGTATTGGCTGGTCAGCAAAAAACGGAGGGTAGCCAGCAGCCATCTCATAGATAAGAACTCCCAGTGCCCACCAGTCAACAGCTTTGTTGTAGCCCTGAAGAAAAAAAAAAGAAATATAAAAAGAATCACAATTTTTACTTTTTAGGTTAAATTTGGGAAACTTCAATACTAGGTCTACAAAAAAAAATTGATTTTTTTTTAAATTGCATTCAAAGAATCCATCAGTATTTTATTGGATTCTAAAGGTTGAGATGAGATCTCAGCTTATTCATGTCCTTTCAGTTTGTGGGCCACAAAGTATTATAACCTGAATGTGGATGCATTGTTTGCAGTTGCTGTGCAGCCACTAAAACACCTAGAGTCACTTGGTACAACCCTGGTGATAATGCACCATGTCAGCACAGCAGTCAGCTTCAATTCCTGCTTGCATCAAAGGCTTCTGACTTCCAGTCTTGTGTCTGAGTCAAGAGAAATAAATTCTCACCCAGATAAGTCACTCAAGCCTTCAAAGTCAATTTGCGGTTTGAGAAAAAAAAAAAAAAAAAAAGATTCATCTGACCTCACAAATCATTGTCACCTTGCTTTTTAATCCCTCTTAACACAAACAGAAAGATATCAGTCATAAATTTGAAGTTATGTCAAAGCAAACTTTACAATAATCCAACTAAACTATATTATTAGACATCACTCTTTCAAATCCCAATATTTACCCACATCATGCAGCATTTTGCTCTCTTTACATATTAGTCCTTGGTGAATAGTAACTCACGTAAGGTGATGAGTAAATCTCCTCATGATTTGGTGAACAAGATATAGCCAAATGCGTATTGAACAATACCTTTCACCAAAATACACGGCAGCACTAATGCAACTTATGATAATCAAGAGTTTGTTTACGTTCCTTTTTTTATACCCAGAAGTGAAAGAAACAAAACCTGCCAGGCTAGAAAACTTTAATGCTACTTTCAGAACCTCCCTATACAGATCTGTAGCCTCTTACTGTACAATATGTAACCTTTTTGTGTATCTTTCTATCATATTTGTAAATCTCAGTCATCAATTAGAATTGATTCTTGCCAAAGTAGTTTGTTTAGTGTGGATGAAACACTGGGTTAACCACGACTTTAGTTGACTTCATTAATGAATAGTGGATTGAAAAGATCAACATGTAGAAACAGAATTGTTCCATTTGACACTTTCTTGCTCTTTTTTAATCCTTCACTCATTTTTGTGTAGCGTGCTACGAAAGATAAAGCATCTACTAGCCGGACTTCTGCAAAATTGAGGTCAGACGTATAGATTTAAAAAGGAAACAGTCTGCAGTTTTAGAAAAGTGTGTAAAACATTCTTCAGTTTTTACTTCCAGCAACTACATACAATACAGTTTGAACAAAAGTGAATATAGGTATAGGTGGGTAGCAACACAAGATAGAAAGTAGTAAAAATGTGATGCTTTTTCACCAATGAGTGCTCAAAACAATCTAATCTTAAACAGCTTGCTGTAATGCTACATGTGTTGGAAATTGTCAATTTTTCAAATCATCTACTTGCCTTTGTACTTACATAGTTTAGTGTTACCTGATATGGCTCTTACTACCATAAGTTTGAGATCGATTGGATTAATCTAACAAACTAATTTGAAGATCTATTGCTTTGAAACCCTTGCTGAGGGGTTCACCTTGCTGAGGATGATCTCTGGAGCCAGGTACTCAGGAGTTCCACACAATGTCCAAGTTCTGCCTTTTACCCGTTTGGCAAAGCCAAAGTCTGTGACCTGGGCAAAAGAAGACAGCCATGTGAAGATATGTCAATCGGTTTTCAGTTTTTTTGTTGTTTTTTTTTTCCTGCTCTCGTTACTTTATTTTTCCAACAATAAAGCTGAGATGGACTGGTTACCTGGATGTATCCATGTTGATCTATGAGCAGGTTTTCAGGCTTTAGGTCTCTGTAGATGAGGTCTAAGGAGTGAAGGTACTCAAAAGTGAGCACAATCTGAGCTGCATAAAATCTTGCATGATGTTCACTGAAAGAGGGAAACAAAGAATTAGACAAAGAGTAAGGTGTATCTCTTCTGAGAGAAGTGGGTAAACGGATTGATGAATAAATCAAAAAACAACCCCCCAAAAATGTGCATTATACCTGAACCTTCCTGTGCGTCTGAGGTGTGAGAACATTTCTCCACCGGGCACATATTCCATCACCATGTAGAGGTTTGAGTTGTCCTGAGATATATATTCAAATAAAGTTACTTCCCATATAATAACATTTACTTTATCCTTATATAAACAATGATGTAGTTTTCAACATGATTTTTACAGCTAAAAATTAATATGCCCCAGACTTTCTTCCTAGTAATGACTGTAAACATACACCAAAAACATTTTAGCGGCTGCATTTTCTGCTATCAACAAGTACGGCAGCAACTCGCAGTCGTGTTAAGTAAGGAAATAACAGAAGCACAATCTTTCCAATCCGGTAAAACAGGACAGGTTGGATTTGTGGGACCGTTGAGAGCAACTGATCACCAGCATGAACCTCTGAGCTGTAAATGTTAAGTAGAAGAAGTAATGTTTCTTTTTTGTTTCACAAAACCACCTGGGTAATGTCATTCTAAAGCCGCATGAGAAACTGAATCACTTTACAACTTTTTGCCTTTGCTAATAAATTGTGACCTCAGACGGCACGTTTCACCGAAATCACT